AGCACGTGTGCTTTGTTCGCTGTGGTAGTCCTAAGAATGAGTGCATGCGTCCATCCACCTGCCTACCTTGGTATGCATGAGCCATTGGTGGTAGGGTGTTGTTGTTTATGTTTTTAAGTGCCATCGAGTTGGTTCTGTCCCATAGCAACCCTGTATGGGGTTTTCAAGGAGTGGCTGGTGAGCTTGAACTGCTGATCTTGCAGTACAAACCAACTTTGTAATTCAGCGCATTAACGCACAGCGCCATACCAGGACTCCAGTGCCAGGATTCCAGCGATAGGGTGATGCTGGATAGATCACAAAGGGTTTCTTTTCCCTTTGATGTAGTTCCTTCCAGACTGGGGAAGTGGTAAGATTTGCTTACGTAAGGATCTTCGGCTATGCAGCTGGTTCGGGTTAGGATTTTTATATCTTTGCATGTTGTTTGCATGGCTCAGACCTGAGCTCTACTTCTAGTTTCCTGCTTCACCCCCAGATCCACAGAGTAGCACTGCTACTTCCTTGGATTCCTCCCTTGACCTGTGACCTGAGCTGCCTCACCAGAGAAGGAGTCTGTGTGGAAGGGGTGTATGTAGCGTTTGTGGCAAAGACTGCAGTATGGTAGCTAGCATGTACTGAAAGCTTAGTTAGTGCATCCACTGTGGCATTTCATCTTCTCCACACTCTATGTGGTTAATGCCATTGTTCTACCCATTTAGGCTGATATGCGGACTGAAGTTTGGGAGAGTTAAAGAATTTACCCCGTCACCTGAGCAAAGCAAAGTATCACAGTCAAGATTTGAATCTAAATCTATTGGATGCCAGAAGCCAGGCTTCATCACAGGGTTAAACTTTCTGCCACGACTTGGGGAAGGACTTAAGGAGCCGTCACCCATGACTAAGACATGGGGCTGGCCTTGCTAGAGGCGCTCCAAACTCAGCATTTAGCACAGTTCTCTGTATGGCGCTACATCCCTTCTTCAGTCACGCCAAGATAAACACCTGGTTTTCCCTCGGTAGAGCAAGGAATTGGGGGCCAGGTGTGGTCTTTGGATATCTGGTAATGTTACCAAGCCTCAGACAAGGGGTCAGGGAAAGGGAAATGTGGAGGTTGGGGTAAAAAAGGAACAGAGGGTGTAGCAGGTGGGATGGGGCACGGGAAGACAACCTGCATCTGCACCCCAGTCTTGGACTTCCCGGGTCACTGAGGAAATCCCTGAGGGTCTCCCAGGAAGAGCAGAGCTCTAGGCCACATCCATGTGGGCTTATGGGATGTAGGTCGGAAACATTTAAAAAAAATAAAAATCCCAGAGCAATTCTGATTCTTCCCTGGGGGCCCTTCTGCCCAGCCCACTGGGGTCTGGTGATTCTCTGGCACTCCCCTGGGAAGCAAGCAGTCCCCTGTCTACTTCTCCACTTTCATCCCTGATTTTGCGCTCTTCCTGTAGCTCAGATGTGGTGCTTCCTGCGGCTGCACCCACAGCACCCATACTGTAGTAAAATAGATCACACTGGGCTGGGTGCCTGCTGTCTCTGCCATCTGCTCTCCTGGACCGCGTGCACCCAGCTTGGTGCTTTTGGCTGACTGATGTTTGTCTCCTTTGTAGGCGATGACTCAGGATGCAGCCAGGCGCCACCACGTGCACAGAGGACCGTATCCAGCATGCCCTGGAGCGCTGTTTGCACGGGCTCAGCCTCAGCCGCCACTCCTCCTCCTGGTCAGGTAGGTCCAAGGGAACTGAGAGGTGATCTGAGGACCCCAGAGAGCCTCAGGCCCCTCCTCCCCCCGTGTGCATTGGACCAGGTGCAGCAGTCAGCAGATTCTTACCTAAGCTCCTGAACCTCACCTGGGCAGGTGCCCTGCTCAGCAGCTTGGTATGATAGTGTCTCCCTTTTTCCAGGCTAGCTTCTTCATCCTCCTCCGGGCTCTATCTTGCTTCCTCAGCATATGCTGGAAGCCTTTATAGAAGGAGGCTTCCAAAAGTTTGTGGAAAAATAGAATGAAAAGATAATGGACTTTTTCCATGGGCTTTTTGGAAACCCCCACGTGGCTCCTTAGAGAAGATACAGAATCTGCTTACAGACACCTCAACTACTGATTCGTAAACAGCTGGTAATTCACAGGCAGTTTCCCCATGATCCTCCTGTTTGTTTACTTTCTAGTTCCTCTAGAGCCCCAGTTTTCTTTTCCTGTAAAACAAGGGAGAGACTCTCAGCAGAGCCCCAGGGAGTCAGAGGTCTCCTTGTTCCCCAGAACTGAGAAACAGGGAGATCTGCAGGTTGGGATAGTTGTGAGAATTCCTTGTGCTTGCAAAGATTTTTCACATTCTCCATTTCCCTTGCCGCCCTAACAACCCTATGATATAGGCAGGATGGTCACTGTGGACTTCTGCTCCTACCTGCCTCTCTTACCCAGGTTTTGATGGGGCTCAGGGTTGTTGGTACAAATGCACCAATCACTTCTGGAAGAAAGATGAGACTGCCTTAATCGTGTAAAGATTTACAGTCTAAGAAATTCTTTTTGTCTCGCTCGCTCTCTCAGAAACTCTTATAGAGCAGTTGTTTTCTCAGGTCACTATGAGTCAAATTGACTCAATCGCAGTGGTATTTTTGACTCAGGGTTAAGTTTATAGAAGGGAGCAATGGTGGTTCCGTGGTAAAATCCTCGCCCTCCTGGCTAATTCATCTCACATACAGCTACCCACCCCCCATCTGTTAGTGGAAGCGATGATCCCAGTTTTCAGTGGAGCTTCCAGACTAAGAAGACTAGGAAGAAAGACCTGGTGATCTGCTTCTGCAAACTCAGCCACTGTCAACCCTGTGGGACACAGTTGTTCTCTGCTACACATGGGGTTGCTAGGAATTGACAATGATTCCATGGAAGCTGGTTTTTAAGCGGATAGGATTTGAGCACCATTATGAAGTAAAGGAATAAAAACAAAAACAACTTTAAAATATTGGCAGATTTTACAAAAACCTATCACTAGTTAGACCTCCAGGACTTTGGAAGGAGCCCATGCACCTGAGGGACCTGGAGCTTCAGCTTCATGAAATTCAAGGTCATCTCACTTCCATCCCCACTACTCCCACACGTGCACGCGCACGCGCACGCCCATGAACACACACACACACACACACACACACACACACACAGTCCTCTGTAACCATCCCTTTAATGTTTAGGGGTTTCCCCTTGCTGACTGCAGGGAAACAGAGATTGCCAAAAGGAGGCAGCCTGCAGGAAGCTGCAAAGTGACAAAGTGCTCATCTGGCTTTAAAAACATAAACGCATGTAGCTTGCCCTTCCTGAGCTTCACTGCCAGGCAGTTGAGGGAAGTCCCAGGGCTGTCCCAGACCTTGTGCCTTGGACCAAAGCTCCCAGGGCTTCCTTCTTTATTCCTCCAGCTCGCTCAGCCTCTGCCTTCCTTTCCTGCACCCACCATAGGAAACCAGGGCAGGCGAGGTTGGGGGAAAACTGGAGGTATCGGGAGCTGAATCAAGCCTGGCTCATTGTCCTTTAAAGAGATCCCAACCAGAATGTCCAATCTCTATCTTCTGAGCCCTCTATATATGCAAGAAACTTCTTGTTATGTCTTGGTGGGATGTAGTAAGGTTGAAGGTTGCCCCAAGTCTCACTTAAACTTTATTTAGAAAGGAATATTTCTGCACAGTCTCAGGGAAGTTCCCTCTTTCTTCACTCCCCACCCCTTCCTGAGGGTTTCCAAGAGAGAACCCCCTCACTGACCACTCACTTTTCTCTTCCTTCTAGCGGGGCTGTGTCTGAACTGCTGGAGCCTACAGGAGCTGGTCAGCAGAGACCCGGGCCACTTTCTTATCCTCCTTGAGCAGATTCTGAAGAAAACCCGAGAGGTGAGAGCAGGCAGGGATTGAAAGGCAGAGCTAGGAAGTGTAGGCCCTAAGGAATGACAGGCCTGCAGTGCCCAGGCCACCAGGAGGGCTTGCCAGCCCCAATGGGAAGCCGTGAGCTTTCTGTGTTCACAGCGCTTGTAGACTGAAGCTTTCTAAGAAGGAGTGAGCCTATGGGTGGTACAAATGTTTAATGTGTGTGGCTGCTAACCAAAAGGTTGGAGGTTCAAGTCCATCCAAAGGCACCCCAGAAAAAAAGGCCATTGAAAACCCTTAGGAAACACAATTCTATTCTGACACCGTGAGCCAAGGCCAACTCAGTGGCACCTGGTAACTGGAAGAAGAGGTGTGGTCCTGTAGACAAGGGTCCTGTGTGTAAGCTGCTGTTTCAGGCAGAGATTGCTTGTCAACCGAGGTCCTGATTAGAAAGAATGGAGGAGGCTTGATGGAATTCCTTCCCTCCAAAGGAAAGAAGGAGCTCTGGGGTGGCACTGTAGGATAAGCATTTGACCTCAAGATCAGCTTGAACCGCAGAGTCAGTGGTTCAAACTCACCAGCCACTCCTCGGAAACCCTATACAGAGTCAATATGAGTCAGAACTGACTCATCGGTACTTAACAACAACAAAGGAAGGAAAAAGTGCTAGGGAAGGTTAAAAGTGAACTGAGACCTTCTTTATCCGTTCATGAAGTAGTACTTTTGTGACTGGTAAAAAGGAGTGCATTTAACGCTGAGCTGAGCAAGGGTTCTAGAACAGCTGTGAATCCCAAAGGAGGATTGTGGCTTTCACACAGAATTCCCTTTAAAGCTTACCAAAAAGTGTTCTTTTTTCAGTATACCACCCAAATGGGAAAAGAGGTGGCTTTATCTCTCTAGTAAGAAAATCTTTGTTTATCAAAGACCTCCCAAGGTGATAAAGCCGGCATCACCTTTTAACTGGGTAATGGAAATAGTGTGTTCTGGAACAACTAACCTGCAGGTGGGTGGTTTGAACACACTCAGTAGTGCCATGGAAGAAGGACCTGACAATCTGCTCCTTCAAAGATTCTAGCAAGTTCTACTCTGTAACACTGGGGTTTGCCATGTTTTACAATTGGCTTTATGGTAACGGGCAACTTTGATTTGGGCTTATTATACCTTGGTCACAAGCAGATCAACACAGAGCAGGACAGTTTCTGGAGTACTTAACTTATCAATCCGACTATAAAGACTCATGCTGTTACTGTGAAGTGCCAACGAGTTGGATCTGACTCATAGCGACCCTGCCTAGGGTTTCCAAAGGTGGCTGCTGGGTGTGAACCACCAACCTTGCGGTCCAGTGCTTATTCTACGTTCAGTGCCACACCAGGACTCCACGGAGCTCTAGGGGAGGGCCTTTTTGTTTTTGAACATTGTGCTGTGGTTTAAGTGAAAGTTTCCCGTTCAACAATGTATACACATTTGTTTCGCGACATTGCAATCATCTCAGTGTAACAACATGCTTCCCACTTGCTCCCGGGGTGTCCTCTTTCTGTCTGTACTACTAAGGCTTGGCTGTTGTGTTTGGCTGAAAGGTCATTCCAGAAGTGAGTTCAGTTCCAGGATGTCTAAGGGCCATAACTCAGGGGTCCCACCAGTCTCCCATCAGACCAGTAAGTCTGATCTTTTTTATGATTTTGAATTTTGTTCTACATTTTCTCCCTCTCTGCCCAGGACTTTTTATGGTGATTCTAGTCAGACTGGCAGCAGTGGTATCCAGGTACCATCAAGATCTCCCGATCTCGGCACAGTGGAGGCTGTGGCTCGTGTTGTCCATTAGTCCTGTGGACTACTCAGTTCACTTGGTCCTTTGAGTCTGTGAAATTCTTTCCTCATCTTTGCTCTCAAAGGGAAGAGACCAATAGTTGGGTCTTAAAGGGGAGGGTTGTATAGAGTGGACTGAGTAGCAGGTATGGAGGACTTGTCTTCTATTCAGAGTAAAGAGAAGGAACATTCTAAATTTGAAGTCCAGAGGTTACCAGACGCAGAGGAGAGGGTGAGGGCTTTCTCTGTGGTTTTTAGCCCCCACGAGTGTCAGAATGGATGTTGAGACCTGTAACATTTTGATCAAAGATTCTAAGACATGGGTGCAAGGGCATGTGTAGTGTAGTGAGTTCCAGTTAAATGCTTTCCTAATGAAGAGGTCATTTACAAAAGAATGCATTGAACTTATAAACATATATAAAAAATGTTTAGCCTCAAAATAAATGCAAATTAAGACTGTAAAAATATATAATTTGCCTAGCAAATCTGCAAAAATTGTAATAAGTAATCCAACAAAGGGTGTGGTGACACTGGTACTCTCGTGCTTTTAAGATATTATAAATGGAAAAATGTTTGGAAAGTCACTGGTAATGTTTCAGATGTTGTATAGATATTTTTAATCTTTGATCCATTGATTGTACTTCCTGAATAATCATAATCCAAACTATAGAAAAGAGATGGCATACGGAAAATGTTTATTGCAACAACATATAAAACAGCAAAAAAAAAAGAATAAATCATCTCAAATGCTAAAATTGAAATAATAAACTGGACCACAAGGTCAGTTTGAACTACAAGGTCGGCGGTTCAAACCCACCCACCAGCTGCTCCTTGGAACCTCTATACACAGTCGCTGTGACTCAGTGGCTTTCAACAATAAGAAATAAAGGCCTGGTGTGGTGCTGTCAGATAAGCACTAGACTGCTAATCATAAGGTTGCTGGTTCAAACCTACCTGCTGCTTCTTAAAAACGCTATACAGAGTTACTGTGAGTCAGAACCGACTTGACAGCACTTAACACCAATAGCAACAACCATAAGGAATAGTATGCTAATAAATAATAAGTAGGATCAAGGATGTGTGGTGCTGTGGGCTAATGCGCCAGACTGCAAAGCCGTTTGAACTGCAAGTTCAGTGGTTCAAGCTCACCAGCTGCTCGGAGACCCTATACAGGGTCACTATGGGTCGGAATCAACTCAACAGCACTTAACAACAATAAGCAAGAATATAAACAAAAATCTAATATATAATAAAATTTCATCAGTAAACACTTTTAGATTATTTAGGGGAAATCAACTAAACATTTGGTAAAAGTGCAGAGTGAGAATCCTAGCTTATACCACATACAAGACAAAATTCTAGATAGATTAAAGATTTAAATTTAAGAAAATTAAGTTTCAAAGAAAAGACGAAAATAGGGATGAATAGACAGATGATCCTTATATGAAAAGGAAAAGCTTACACACTTTCTGTACGTGAAAAAAATGCCACAAAATAAAAAGACAGAAAACTGGAAAACATATTTATAACACAAATAACAGATAAATACATATGGGAGGTGGGGTGAAGAGATGGTCTGAGATACCACATAGCAAAACAGAAATTCACTTACAATATTAGATGTAAAAGATAGCAAGAATAAATATATGCATACTGTTATGAATTTATAGGTGACATTCAAAGGGAAGAACGGTACAAGTAAAAGTACATTGAAGACATTAGCTGTAATTGAGTTTGAATGGGGTGGTGTATATTGTGAGTGACTGATGTTTTCTATTTCCTGTTTTCCAAATGTTTTGTCTTGCGGTGACATTCCTTTTTACTTTAAAATTGAAAACCACGAAGGAATAGGACAGACAAGACAGCACTGACGTGTGAGTGAGCCTCACCTTTCCTCACCTGTCCTCTCCACAGGTCCAAGAGAAGGGCACCTACGACCTCCTGGCTCCGCTAGCTCTGCTCTTCTATTCCACTGTGCTCTGTGTAAGTTCCAGAGTGGGCCAGGCTGGGGGAGGCAGGAGAGAAGAAGGGGGAACCACCAGTATGGGAACACAGCCCTCACACATCTGGGGATCAACACGAAAATAACTGTCAAACAATGAAACGTAATATCGTTTTCAACCCACAAAATGGCCATTTCCCCACCAGAGCAGCCATCTTGAGAGACCTCCAGTGATTTCATGTAGACACCATTGTGCCTGGCATTTCTGGTCACCCATAAAGTAACTGCTGTCACACCCTGTTCATAAGCCATGAGAAGCGTCTCTGGGGAGATTTTACAGTCAACCTCCAATGGTCAGTTTTACCCAATGTAAAACTCTTTTATTCACCAGACCAGTGGTTCCAAACAAATCTGTGTACACAGAGTTACTCCACCTTCAAAGGAAAAACATTTGCCTCTAGAGAGGAGGATATTTAAATAAAGGTGGTTTAAGCACTGAAGGATTTTTTGTTTTCTTGACATTTATCAATGGAGAAAAGATTGAAGTTGTCAAGGACTTCATTCTTCTTGGATCAACTATCAACACTCACGGAAGTAGCAGTCAAGAG